AGGCGGGCTGGGCCCTGGCTGTGCAACTACCTACTGCCACCTGGCTCGGGGCAGCCGGGGTCAAGCCCTTCTCTGTGCTATAGGTGGGTCTCCGAGGTGCGAGCTTTCTCCACAGGGGGTGTGTTTGTGAGAACTGCTCCCTCCCTGTGCGTGCGAGCCTGGTAGTGGAGGCCTGATCTCTCGTGCTCCCATCAGGGACCAGAAGGTGGCTTGGCTACCTTCTCCCACTTCTGATGGGTGTAACCCTCAGGGTCTGGATCCCACGGGATTTGCAGACAGGTACAGGTCTAGGGAATCCCACGTGGGAAGTTCGTGGATGCTCAGGCCAGGGTGGAATTCTGACCAGCGTTCTCTGGAATGAAAGCACCAAGAACAGAGAGGATGGTAAAAAAGCAGAATGTGAAACACCGCAAGTTGCTTCACAAAAGAAAGAAGTTAAATGGTTTTATGAAGAGTAATAATTTTTCTTTAAAGTATTGCTTTTTAAAAATATCCAGAGAACTCACTTCATAGGGTCAGAACAGAAATAAAAGTGACATTTTACACACACCCCACACACCCTTTTTATTCTTGTTTTTTCTGGGGGAGGGGTGGCTTAAGTATCGTAGCATCTCTAGGGACAGTTGTGATTCTGGTCTTGTGCTCTACTTGGTGCACATGAAAATTTACATATTAGGTGTGGTAACCTTAATATATGAAATGAGCCAGGTGGCTGCCCCTCTCATTTTGGTGTCTTGGGTTCTTTAGAAGTAAAATGAAAGGTTTTAGAACTTCATAGTACATTGGAGTCTATTCTAGCAGCATTTTTGGATATTTTGTAGAAAATGTGTTTGCTTGAAGGAGTTGGCAAGGTTAAGACACATGTTTACTTAATAATTTCATGGTCCTCTGCCAGTTTAACTTGCAAGAGTCAAGGAATGGATAGAACTGGTTTTCTAACAAGATAACGTTGGTTTAAGAACAAAGAACACCTTTGCTACTTTATGAAAAGGAACAAACATATTGGTATATTTAATACCACTCCTAAATGGTTTAAGATTCCTTTCAGCAAAGTTCCTTGTGAATACAATTATAATGAGCTATATTTTCCTTTGATTTTAATTTTAAAATGGGAAATTTCTCTTTGACAAAATTAATTGATTATAATAAAGTCATATTTAAGTATATGGAAAACTTTTAACGACTTCTATCCAAAACCTTGAAAGATAATTTTCTTTCAATGAATACTAGTGTATTTAAATATTAAAATTAACTTAGAACTCATTTAAAACTTAACAAAATTGAAAACAAATAGAGAATGCAATCCAGATATTGTGGAAGTGTCCATCATTTATTTAAATTTTTGACTTTCTGTTCTACTACAAACATCTTAAGGATCTACCAGCCTAACTTTTCATTAATTTAAAACTTGCCACGTTCTCTTTCCCTCCAGTGACTGAACCTGATGACTTCTTTCCAGATACATTTGCCCAAGTTTTTGTTTTTATTTTTAAATAACACTGGAATAGCAGAACATTTTTATTTATTTGTTTATTTACTTTGTATCGGGGATCAAACTCTAGACCTTGCACTTGCATGGCGGGTGGCAGAGCCCTTGAGCTAAATCCCTGGTTGGAACATCTCCCTTTTTGCTAAAGAAGTTTCCTTCAAGTCCTCCTGTGTCTCTTAGTTAAGCTGAATTTGTTAATTGGTGACTGCTTCTTTGAACTTGATAGTTCAAGAATTAAGGCAGTCATTGCCCCAAATCCCCACATATAAGACCACATAAAAATTATGGTGTGGATGTGATGTTTGTAAGAGATGTGGGTGTTTACTCCAGGCAGTGAGCTGAGGGAGAAGTCAGTTACATGGACTTCCCAAACTGGAAGAGTTCGATAGTGCTTTCTTTTGGAATACATTTACCATTAACTGATTTTTTTAGGTAATATTTAATTTAATGTGAATAATCTCCCCATATTTTGGTATAGGGAACAGTGTCTTAATTATCAAAAAACAGGAGATTTTTCATTTGAAAACTAATCTTTATACATGACATATGCTTTCAAATTACAGATAGTATTTAGTGAACTCCACAGTACTTAAAATATGGACTTTGGGATTTCTGGTGCGACCACTTAATATTTTAAGATACTGAAGCTTCTGTTTAGTATTAGTTTGATGAATTCCCCATATTTACATTATCAGTATTGGAAAACAGTGGCCGCTTTCCATACTGAAAGTAGCTTCAATGCTACTGGCAGACCTCCAAGGATATTTTACAGCCCTTCCTGACTTCATGTAAAATGAGTGATTGACTACCTGTTGCTAAAGAGCAGTTTGATCTCCACTGATAGTCTTAGGTTTGTAGTGATGGAGACCAGAACCAATTGGTGGGAAAGGAGGGCAGGGCTGCACCTGTCCCCATCTGTCTGCTGACAACAGTCGCAGCTTGGGAGGATACAAGGGCATTTTTAAAAGACTTCTCCTATATTGTGGAAGTGCTGAGTGTTTGAGCATACAAATCTTTTATGATGTCAAGATAAATATTTTAATGTATATTCCATAATTGATAATTCTTCAATTTAATAATTAACGAATATATGGTCTAAGGACTATCTGGAACTTCAAGAGAAATAGCTGGAAAGTACAAATAGCCTTTTACTAATCTTAAAACTGGGTAACAGTAAATAAATCTGATAGCATTAATCATCTGGCTGTTTAAAATAATAGTCATTAGAACTTTGAATAAAAAAGACTTAAGATTAAGACATCTTTGGCTAAAAAAGAAGAATTCTGAATAAAATTTACAAGAGAATTGTATGTTTCTTAGTCTAGTCCAAAGGCATCAGGCAAAAATCCTGAGGATTGGGTTTCTATAAGATCTGGAAATTTTTAATTAAAAAAATAAGAACCAAGATACATCATGTAAAGGTACAAGTTCCCAATGAGAAATGTAAATGTACTATATACCTAAAATGTACCAATAAAATAATTTAAGGGGAATAAAGAGGACTTTTGTATATAATGTCACATCCAGAAATGTAACATTCAGAAAGTGGCATTCTATTTTAATTCACTTTGAGAAAATAATGAACTCTAGTTGTAGAAGCAGTAGGGCCTCGCTTGACAAGGAGATGTCTCTGCAGTTTTTCTATAAATAAAAAATATTTTTTCTGAAAAAAATATT